GTCAGCTAGCAAGACTGTGCCTGGCTTGTTCAGCCCGGTGCCTGGCGTGCCACAGGCTGCAGCACACAGAGTTCATCAATGAATGCAACGTGCAGTGGGTTTTCAGGCCTGGTATCTCAGGAATTGTTGGGATTTTGCAGGGACTAATTTGAAATGTCAGAAAATACAAATGCTGCGGCTTTCTGTGTATTTATAAACATATTTTCAGACATCCCCTTATCTCTCAAGAGCGGGAAGGAAACCATAGCCCCTCTGCTTAGTTCTGCTCCTTGGCTGTCTGGCTTAGGTTTGTCAGGAGGAGTGAATGGATATGAAAGAAAGGAATCTGGATGGAGATTTAGACAACAGGCTTTCTTATTGGCACAGGATCCAAGCATGTAGGCGCAAGCTTACGGTCCTGCAGAGCACATGGGTGGCAAGCACAGACGATTTCATGCAGATTAGCAAGCAAAGTTCCAGCCTGGAGAGCCCCTCTGCAGGGAAGGAGCTGTTTCAATCTGTCATGCTCCAGGTATGAAACAACTACAGGAACATTGGCAAACAGAGACGAAAAAGTGCTTACAGACTAGTTACCAGGTGTTTACATGTGAACAGTGCAGAGGACAAAGGACTAGTACGAGGGAAGTTCCCAAGGTGATGTATACCAGGGCCAGCAGTTCCCAGCACCAGAGGAGAATGCCTTTAGCTCATGAGAGCTGCCTTTACCTGCAGCATCGTGCAGCATAGCTGGCAAAGATTTTTCAGCATGTGGCTTCCATAACCACTGCTCCCAAGGAGTGAATTCATGCCGATATTTACAAGCTGGGTTAATTCACGTAGGTTGGCAAATACTGATTGTGTTCTCCTGGAAGCCAAGGCCCAACCAACACCGGTGGAGGCATGAAGAAAACCCTACCACCTCCAGCCCCTGTGCTTGGCGGGGCCTGGTGCATCACAGCCAGCATCAAGGCCTGCAAAACCCACCCACGGCGGGTGTCCTCCCACGTTGGGCCTGGGGGTGAGGGTGTTGGTGGGCTGGGGGCTGTGGGCATGGCTGGGCCTTATCCCAAAGGCATCTGCCAGGCCCCAGCCCACCCGTGCTGCTGCTGGGGTGCCAGTGGCCCAATCCAGCCTGCTTTAATGGAAAAACAGGCCTGACCCAGGCAGGCGGCAGTAACTGCCAGGACTGCTGGATGGGGCTGAAATCCCCTGGAAATGAAAGACAGCTCTGCCAAAGGCAGAGGGAGGGCGAAGTCACCTGGAAAGAGTTAGCTGCCCAAGGCGGGGGGACCCTGCTTTCATCTTTTTATAGCACAAAAAATTTCGTGACTGGGTTAAAGCCCTACTGTTTGGACTGGATGTTGTTACCTAATTCTCAGAAACGAGAGCAGCTGGCCAGGGTACAGATACCTCCTAGCAAACCCCATAGCATGCAGCACATCATTTAGCAGGGCTGTAAAAGTAAGGACATTTATTAGGGGGCTTGGGAGTGAAACTGAGCATGCTGGCTGGGCTTTTAGCTGGCCGTGTTTCATTTCCAGCTCCTCTGAGTGAGGCGCTCTGTTTCACTTTCTGCTAAAATAAATAAGTAAATAAATGGAGCACTCTCCTCCTGTCCTTCCCACCCCTGTTTTGGCATGTCCTTGTGTAAATCCCATGCCCATACTCTGGGAGTCTCCACACGGATGCTGTTAGCCTTGTGGTGATGCTGTGCAATGGGCGAAGGTCCGGGCGAAACCCACATTCAGGAGGATCCGAACAAGGCAGGCTTGTAGCCGAGGTGTAAGAAGTCATCTGATTGCTGGGGATTTTCACTCTGAGGCAGAGTGAGAACAAAATGGTGCCCTGAGCCCAGCAAATAATGTGAATTTTGCAAGCATTTATTGCCATCTCCTGTTCCTTCCTCTTCCTGCCTTTCATCCGCCTATTCCTCCTTAGGTTGCTTAGGTTGGCACCACCAGGGTCCCCGCTTCTTCCTCTCCTTTGCTTGACTTCCTCCATTTATTTACAGGACAGATTTTGTCACTCGTGCAGATGCCATGATGGACCTCGAGCGTGTTCTGGTGGCCTTGCTCCGCTCCTGGTGGAGAGCGATACGGGCTGCTCGTGCTCAGCACACCCTGTTTTTCCCATGGCACCTGTGATGGGGCGGCGAAATACGGCCAAGGGTCTCACCACATCCCCTGGGTGTCAGCACAAAGCATTGGACACAGAGGGAAGGCGGAAAATGCTCAAGGCTTTTGATTTTTTCTTGGTGGCTTCCCAAAGACAGAGACCTTTAGAAAATGTTTCCCCGTGTGTGCCTGTCAGTGGTGCTGGAAAGGCCGTAGGGACCTGAGGAGCACAGCCCTTGCCCTGGGGAATCTCTCATGAATAAAATAATGTAATTTTCTTTTTTACAGTACTTCTGTTAAATATCTAAACCTTAAGTAAAACACTTAAAAAAAGCCAGTAAATATAAATACTTTAAATGCTAAATTATGGAATTTGTAAATTGTCCTAACTACAGAAATGCACACAGCAGCGCTGAGGGAGCTTCCAGCCTTCCACGCCGTGGAGATCAGCCTGTTCCTCTGTCAGCCTGCCTGCAGTCAGTCAGCCCAAAAGCCATCCTCCCCATGCTGGGCAAGACACCTCTGGTTCTTGTACGTACCACAACAGAGGCAAAGGGCCAGAGGCCCTTTCCAAGCCTGCTCATCGAGGTGCCCAAGAGTGGCCTGGGGAAGAAAACCCATCCAGGGGGAAAACACATCTTTAACAACAAGTCTGCTTGATGTGCCTTAGAATAGGTGAAGCTGACACTAGAAACACATGAATATATATCTTCTGTTGCGATTTTTTCCCCCATATTTGTTCCTTTAGGTTGTAATGTTGTCACGCTTTGCCTCCCCTATGCTCAAGCCAACAGTGCCTTGGCTGCTGAGACAAGTACTATCTTCAGTGCATGCCTGGGAACCAGAGGAGCACGATCCAGATTTTTGCCATCCCCCCCCGATGGGGGCTACATTTGATCTTGCTGTGGCTTTGCTCCCCATCCATAAACCTGCCATGTCTGTTGAAAGGTGCCTATTTTTTCTCCTGTCTGACAACTCTGTGCAGATTCTGGGAGAGCAGCAGGTACAGGGGATAGCACTCATGCCAGCATCAGATAATGGCTAATGGAGTGCTGGTAACTTTGGCATTAACGAGGCTGGATCAGAGCAGCAGGATCAGAGCAGGCAGGGTGCTGGGGACATGCTGTGCGAGTAACAGCAGCATGAGAAGAGCATGCAGGTCCATATTCTGGCTTTAAGATTTGATGTGCTGGCTTCAGCAGGAGCCATGTGCACGTAGCCGCTGCCAGAGGACTGGCCCAAAAGTTTAGTGTTTCTCCAAATGAAGTATAAAAGTAATTATGAGCTTGGCCCACAGTGCTTGGGGTGGAATTCACAACCATCTGGTGCTAATGGCCTGGAGCGAAACCTTGGGAAAAGGCTTCATTTCGCTTGTTATTCTTCAGAGGAGTCCCTGGCCAGGCACTGCGCTGCCCCGGTAAGCAGCACCTGTGGGGCAGTGCGCAGGGGGAATCAGGGAGCTGAAATCAACACGTGTCCTCCTGCTCTTTCACTTCACTGATGCTGAATTCACTCTTCCCAAAAAGCCCTGCCCATTGAATGGCTGTGCTTCCACAGAGGCAAAGTTTCTAGGCTGACAAGTATTCCCGGTGTTGCCCATCCACTAAAAGAAGCTGGCTTTAGGAGCTCTGTTAACACAAAGCTCAGCTTTGCACAGGCCAAGGCAGGATGGAAGGAGTGTGTAGAAAGTGAATGCTTTTTTTTCATTCCATCTGACATTTTGCAGAAGAAGCCTTCCCTTCTGTTGATAGAAGACATCCCAAAGGCAGGGACAGACTTTCAGTCTGCCAGGGGACCCTCACTTGTCCCCTCACTGCTCTGCTTTGTAGATTGGGCAAACAGAGACACAAAAGAGTGTGATGTGGCCAGGTATTTTGGTAAGAGGAGCCATACAGGTCACAGAAGTGGCAAACAGAATATAATGCTTGCCTCAGAACTCCAGGAGAACCTCCCTTATTAAAATCTCTGATGGAGATTTTTAGTCATTGCTGTGCTTCCCAGAAGGTAGGGAGAGATCATTACTCACTAAGCATGAGAAACTGGAGTAAGAAATGGCACAGAGCTATTCAGCCTGCTCAGTCTATACAGACATTCAGGCATCTCTATTAACAATTTTGGGTCAAAACTCAGATGTTCCACATGGGAAATGCCTCTCTTCTCTGCTTTCCTCTATGTGGTCCAAATAGTGCATCTGAAATACAGCTTGTTGAGGCCATAAGAGCTGTGATTCTGGATTAAAACACATTTGCAGCAAAAATACTTAAGCTCTTCTTTTCAGAAAAATAAAAATAATAATAAAAAATATATCTTTTCTGGGGAGGGGAAAGCCTTGCCTTCAGACTCTCCAGTAACCAAATTGCCACAAAAGAAGCAGTGGAGGTGCAAAGTGACTTTAAAAACCTTATTCCTCCCTGCAGTCTCAGCTTCCCAAAGCCTTTGCAGGTTGTGCCCCCATATGATGGATGCTCTCCCCCCAGGACAGGCACTCAAGGCATGGAAAATGCCAGGGTTTGTGGGTATCCACAGTCAGTCCTAATTGCCACCATCATACGGAGGAGCGTGTCTGACCCCCAACCTTCACATTAAGTGGCCACCCTGGTGGTCCCCTGGGTGGTTTCGAATCGTAGCTCATCTCATATTCAGCTGTCCCCGTGGTTTCTGCATAATGGGGCTGTGTATAGATTTCCAGAGGTAAAGTTTTGTCTGTAACGTGTTATACAGCCACATTGCCCTCTTTCTTTCTCTTCCTCATCCCCCTCCCAAGACTGTTGCTTGCTGGGAAGCCTGTGCTCTGCTCCACTTTTATTCGCAGGGATTTGGCCTACTTCAAGGCCTGCTGGGGATGAAACACCCCCACATCAGACCACCCTCAGCCGTTCAACTTGGTGCCTTTGTCTTCTCCCACAGTTTTTGCCAGAATACTGAAGGCTCCCGAATCCCAAAACGTCACCTTCGGCTCCGTGGTGATGCTGCGGTGCACAGCGGCAGGCGCTCCGGTCCCCACCATCACTTGGCTGGAAAACGGGAAAGCTGTAAGTCCTCCTTTTTTTTGGCCCTAGTTTCTGCTCCTGCCTTTCTCAACACTTGCTGTGTGATCATGCCAAGGCTGCCTTGTCTGCTCTCTGCAGTGTTCTCGCCTGAGAAATGCTCTCCCTCATACCCAAATGTTGCACAGGTTGATTTGCTGGGATCTGGAAAGCCAGAGATGAAGGATGCTTGAGATGCTTGCAAGCTCCTCCTGGGCTGGGGTATTTTGGAGGACTGCATAGTGGGATTAAGTTTTTCTGCAGCCACCTTTCCTGGCCTTTCTCCTAACGTGCTAACAATAGCATGACAAAATGCCTTATTTGACAAAATCACATAAACCAAGGCAGTGAAGTAGAGATAACTTCTCTTGAGCATACTGCCTTTGGCCTGTATGTGCCCACTGCTTCTCACAGGGAAGTGATCCACGGGTTAATTACCCTGACCATTTAATGTGGGTGCCTGCTTTGAATTTGCCTGGCTTCAGTGTCCACATGTAGGCCACTTGGCACCCAGTATTGTCCTCCCAGGGGTGCAGCTGCCCACCACCACCACAGCAGCTCTCCAGCAGGAGGACACTGGACACCTTCCAAGCTCCTCTTTCCCGTGAATTTCCTCTAGTCCTCACATGATTTTGGTGGTCGTGCTTTATATTCTCCACGTTCCTCCAACAGCATTTTTAAAGCTGTGTGGCCCTAAGGCACAGTGCTGCAGAGGCAGCTGTGTGCCAACCAGTGATTTACCTCTGCTCTTTCTCACTGCTCTCCCCACAGCCCTGGATCCTTCTGGCCACCGGCTGGCCATGGCCATTCCTGGTGGCTTGCTTGTCCAACAGGACCAAAGAATCCTCTCATGGAAGTTCTTTCCCTCAGGAGGGTACCTCCATCCTGTCCCATCTCTCCATGTATTAAGACATGTTATTAAGGAGCCTGGTTTACTATGCAGACTCTCTCACTTTCTTTATCTCTGCTAAACCTTTTTGTATCTTCCACTCTTATTAGGGGTCATTTTCTGTATTTTAGCTATTGTAATATAGCTGTATAATATTCTGTATTATATTCTGTGCTCAGACTTGCAGGCAGGTCCCTTCCCCTGCATCCATCCTCCAGATATCCATACTCTCCACTGCCATAGTCCTCTGGATTGACTACACATGTCCTTGAGACCCTTTTTAGCTGCCAACAACTATGCCAAAGGCCATGCTTCTGTTTGTAGTCTTCACAGTAGCCGAGAGAACAGGAAAGTTGAAGAATTCAATGGTCTCTTTCTGGAAAGCTGGTGAAGGTCTTCTAACCTTTCTCTAAAAGGGCTTGAATGTATTGAGGACCTGTGTTTTGGGACAGCTTGTTTTCCTGGGGTTCTGGTGGGGTCTGTAGAAGAAAAGCATATTGGATGAAGGGGGAGGAATCATTTCAGACCACACCAGGTACTTCTCAGTGCTGGCGAGGTTCTGGGGAGAAAAAAAAGTAAAAATAAATCTGAGCAACACTACAATAAAAACAAAAACAAAAAAACAAAAACAAATAAACAAACAAACAAACAACAAAAAAAAACCACAAAAAACCAAACCAAACCAAACCAAACCAAAACATCCTGAGTTCTCATCCACCTGAATTGACTTGATATAATTGGCATAATTGGCATAATGTAATGTGTAATGCCAAAAAATATACTTAGTCCCCGCATTTGCACAGTGACCAGCATACCACCCATCTCTGATGCCATCTTTACAATAATGATGTTGGTCTGTTGATTAAGGGATTTCTTCCCGTGCATGTTCCCTCACCCCACATCTTTGAGCAAAGCTTGAGTGAAGCAGAACAAATGCATTACTTTATTAATATGTATATTTTTGGAGACAAACCAATGTGCTTCCTAAAGACATGACACAACACTGATACATCCTTTCTTACTTTTCAATTATCACCACTAAAGACCTTTGAAAGCAGATACAGATACCATTGAAATAATTTCTACTAGCTTCCAGGAAGGTCAGGTTAACCTGTCTCATCTCTCAGCTAGATGTGTCAGTAGAGTGCTTTGCTAGGATGGATCCCGTGATGCAAATCTCAGGTGTCCTTAGGGCCAAATTGCACCAGCAGCATTCATGGATGACCACATCTCCTTTCAGTTATTCCTGCTGCTTCCTAATGGTGTGAAGAATAGAGCAGGCAATGCTGTTTGGTGCTACTGCCTTTGCAAGGCAGAGTCTTCGTGTGCCCTGTCCTCTGATTTAATTTGTGCCAAATGAGCACGAAGGACTTGATGATAATACCAAGTCTGACTAGCCAAAGTCAGCAGGCTCCAAGCTCATTCATGTAGGAAAAGAGCTGGCCAATGTCACCTCATCTGCAGCCCATTCCACATTTCCAGGTGTGAGATCAGAAAATCTGTTGGGTATCTGCTGGAGTGTGGGAGCCAGATCATTTGCTTGGCACACCACTGCTCTGGAGGTGTGGCCGTGGTTGCATTAATCCAGAATTAATGTCTTCAAGACTATTTTCTTCTCTCCATTCGTAGACCCAGCCACAAAGCCATGTTGTGTCCTTCCTTGCTAAGGCATGAGTAGGCAAACAATCTGCTAGCAGAGATCCTGCAGTAACTAGCCACAAAAATCTGAGACCTTCAGAACTGAAAATTAATTGCAAAAGTATTGTTAAAGCGTGGACTAGGTGAGGTTGCAACATTTGCTTTTGTCTGCGAAAGCTATGAAAGCAGCAAAATGGTGCCTTCTGGTTCAGCTCTCTGCCACTTCTACCTGCTGGCTGCATCTTCCTCAGTCAACCTCAGTGCTTGGGGGTGGGTCCCTTGGGTGTTCGCTTGGTTTGTTTGTCTGCCTTTGTGGGAAACACCACCGCAGGGGGCTTTTTACTCTCTTAGGTTTCCGCAGGGTCTATAGTGGAAAGCGTCAAGGACAGAGTGGTTGACTCCAGGCTGCAGGTGTATGTCACCCGACCTGGGCTGTTCACTTGCCTCGCCACCAACAAGCACAGCAAAACCTTTGGTGCTGCGAAAGCTGCCGCAACCGTCAGCATTTCAGGTGTGCTGGGAGGATGGGGGTCCTCCACAACTTTTCCATTGCCCTGGGCTCTCCTGCTGGGGGCAAGCAGAAGGGGCGGGAGGTGGAGGCAGAGGGTACGGCTTGGTGAGCTAATGGCTCGCAGGGGGGGCTAAATTTGAGTACCAGTGCCTCCCCACCGGGCTATTTCCTCATATATTCTTACACCCCGGGAGACTGGCACAGCTGTCGCTTCCTGAGTGCTCGGTGCCGCCCCATACGCCGTGTCCCAGAGGCGCTCGGTAAGCCCATCCATGGGGAGGAAGCCGTGGCCGCGGCCCAGCATCGGTGTCGCCTAACAGCAAGGTGAAAATAGCTTTCCCAAGATGTCCTTAGCTCCTTGGGGGGAGGTTGCATCCCTCTTGCTGCCCTCACACAGCTGCCGTGCCCAGGTAACCTCTGCTGCTGGGACATCTCCTGATGGGGAAAAGGATGAGCAGGCGGAGAAGCCCTGGACACCCAGCCCCGCATGGGAGCCCGCTTAAAGACAGAGCGTGGCCTCCCAGGTATGCAGGGCCTAATGGATAAGGTGAAGGTACAGGCTGAGGGTGCAGGAACCTGCCTCAGCAAGGTCTGCAGTCATTGGGGCACCTCCTCACCTCCTTTCCCCACCGCCTTTCTCTTCTTCCCTACAAGAAGAGGCAAAACAAGTGAGCTGTGCCCTTTCCAGACAGCTCACAGCTCTCAGACAGATTTCCTGCCATGGAAATCTTAGTTACTGCAGAGGGTGCAATGAGGTGTCACTGATGATTTTGCCATTTCTTCTTTCTCCTGGCTCGTCACCATTGCTGGACCCGGTGTGCCCCTGGCAGAGTGGAGGTAAGGATGGTTTGTGTGGATCCCTGGGGGGTTTCCGTGGGCTGGGGCGAGGAACGATGATGAAACAAGGCTATTTGGTGAATATTTTGCTCAAATAAAGGGAGTGGGTTTCTGGATGCCAGGCATGAGGCTCACCTGAAGGCAATACTGAGCCCTTTATACAGCATGCACAGAGCCCACGCCCATGAGATCAGGGTGCCTCAGGGCCAAGCCAGCTGTGGATCACACATCAGCAGATTGCTTAAAATTCGGCAGTGGGCAGAACACTCTGGGGTGAGTTCTGTCCACAGTCAGGCTTCATCAACCTCACAAATTCACAGGAGCAAGCTAAGGTCCTGTCTGCACAGAGCCAATAAGTGTGCTTTGGTACAGTGATCACAATATTAGGGCAAGAGGGGTTTAGGTATTTCTTCAAAGCAAAGTTGTGGATGGGTAAAGCTACTTCTCCGTGATCAGAGGTGCACTTTTGCCAGATATTTTCTGGAGTGCTGAACGATTAGGCTGGCTTTCTATTTCTGGAGCCCTAGCATATTTCTTCATGTGGCACGGGCAGATCAGCCTGGAGGGAAAATGCGAGGGCTCGCCTGAATCTGGCGGTGCTCAGAGCAAAGAGCAAGGCTTAAGGAAATCTGAGCAAATGGCTCTGCTGTGCTGCTGGCACGGGCTGCCTGTGAAGGCTCGCCTCCTTCAGAGGGGCGTGCGAGATCCTTGCAGGGTGTTTGCAAGGGATTTTGTGGCTCTGGCGCTGACTGCAGACCTCGGCGTCGCACCATCACCGGTGTCCATGTGAGGGGCGTGGGTGCAGTGCTCCTGATGCTCCTCTCTTGCAGTTGTTCTCGACAGCTGCTACACAAAATCCCCTCTCTGTGGCCGGGGCTCGTGAGAAACATCTCAGCGCTGCTTCTCCCACCCGTGTCACTCTGCAGCTAGTAAAAAAAGCAAGGAAACACACGACGCCAGCACTGGTTGTGCTGGTAACATCGGCATCCTGCCAGGCTGCTGCTGCAGCTCCCCAAGACCAGCAGCACAGCTCTCCCACGTGTGTCCGTGCCCTCTTCTGGCTCTCAGGGCGTGGTGAGGATGCACCTTGCACAGGAGGCACAATGGACGGTGTGCAGGATGCTAGGCACCATGGGCAGTGTGGGACCAGCAGGGAAGCAGCCCAGTGGCAAAAACAGCTGAGAAAAGGAATAATAAAAAAACACCAACAATTGAACCTAAAGCAGTGCAGCTAAACTGGGGTTAGAGAGTGTCACCTGCTGAGTGCTGCATCAACAGCAGAGATGCAGGCATCCTCTGAATTCCCTTGCCCATGTAAGTCCAGCTTTCCTAAGAAAAACAGTGAGAACCCCCCAGGGCATTGACAATGGGGGATTATTTGGGCAGAGCAGTAAAAGGCAGGGATACAAATAGCTCTGCTGGCTGCTCCAAATGGTTGGCGCGTTGAGAACTGAACTCCCTGACCCTGGTTATGTGGGCGGGCTGAGCAATGGGGACAGCTGCACCCCCAGCTCCTCCCACACGCTTTGGGGCAGTTTTCCCAGGTGTGCCCCAGTTTCCCCAGGCTGGGGAGCATCCTTTGACCCTGTGCTGGGAGCTGGCCCCCCTCCGGTGGAGGGGGGATGACAGCCACACCAGGCTGCATGCAGAAAGCACAGGAGGGATAAATGATCAGCCCCAGAAGGAGCCAAGCCTGCTGTGCTCTGAGTGGTGCTAGCTCTTCTCAGCTCCTGTATCTGCACACCCACTTCTCCCAGCCTTTAGTCTTACACCCGGGTACCCAGTGCCTGCTCCTGCAGCTGTGCGAGGCTGCAGGTTAACCCCGTGTGTCTGCTCTTGTTCCCGACAGCAAGCTGTACAAGGGCGATGCAGGCTACTGCAGCACCTACAGAGGCGAGGTGTGCAGCGCCATCCTGGCAAGCAATGCTCTGGTTTTCTTCAACTCCTCCTATGCTGACCCTGAGGAGACCCAAGAGCTGCTCGTGCACACTGCCTGGACTGAGCTGAAAATGGTGAGTGCCTTCTGCCGACCGGCCACCGAGTCCCTGCTGTGCAACTACATCTTCCAGGAGTGCAAGCCCTCGGGAGCTGGGCCAGCCCCCAAGCCTGTGTGCAGGTAAAGAAACACGAAATGTTCCCCTTTCACTTTTGTTTTGCGGGGATGGATGCACAGGAGGCTGGAAACAGCAAGAGTTTACCTGGCTTTGCAGTAGTACTGAGAGGAAATGGGCTCCCTGGGCTTGTATGAGTTTGGGTTCAGAGTGGCTTTCAGAGGTCTGTGTTATATCAGGCTTTTGGTGGCAGGTGTTGAAAAGGAATATCCCTTTGAATGACATGACTGATCTAAGTAATTAACACATTGTTATCAGTTAAATCTTGCTAGGCCAGTGCGCACTCACTGCTGCTATCAGAAAGTCATTGCTGGTTTGGAATTTTAACTAAATATGGGCACAGAAACGTGTGGCTGATGTGGCCAAGGTAGGACACTAATCACTCAGCACTTCCCACCACCGCAAGGATGGGACAGAAAAAGACTGCGCTGGAGACACTGCCAGCGTAACTGCACCTGCTGAACCACACCAGCCTCCCTGCTGGCACACGTGTCCTCGCACAGCCAGAGCAATGTGCAGCCAAACGGGGCTGGCAGGGAGCAGAGCATCCCGTGCTGCAGCTAATCCCCTGCTGACAGGTGCCTGTGCGGCACGTCCCAGGCACAGGGGCCGTGCAGCCCACCGGGGCCGTGCAGCCCACCAGGCAGCCCTCCCTCATCGCACCCTGTCCTCCCCCGTGGCCACCGAGAAGAGCTTCCTCACTCACAGCAAGATTTTAGGAAGCCTTCCCCAGCTTCTCAGCCTGGAATAAGCCAGCTTTCTCCAAGCTCTCCCCATAGGTCTTGCTTTTCAGCACCGGAGTAAACCTTGTGGGGTGATGCTTTCTTTTTCTGGAACCATAATCCTGAAACAGATTATTCAGGTTGGGGTTTACTAGGAGGGAGGCCCCAATTCCAGTGCCTCGACTGAAACGATTGTTCTGTCTGCAGGCATGGCAGCGCTACCCCAGCTGGACGTGGGCCAGCTTTAGTCTACTGGAAATTATTTTTCCAGATATGCAGGGGCTTTTTAGGACAGTCAACAGCATGTTGTCTTCACAATCAGGGCCTTTCTGATCACTCCACCTTCCATAGCTCCAAAACAAAGGCACGGAGGAAAACCCCGGCGTGAAGCTTGACAGTGGGTTGGGTTCTCCGTTGGGAGCCTGTGCTGCTCAGCACTGCGTAGCCAGCACAGCCGTGGCATATATCCTGAGAAATAAGTGTGTGTGCAAATACCCACAAATAATCCTGCAGACAAGTGCTGAAACTTGCCTTTTGTTGGCAGGCTCCTCCCCACTGCCTCGCTGTGCTGCTCTTTGTCATTGTGCCCTTTAGCGCATGGTCTCCCTGCCTATTTTCAAGATGTGTGACAGTATTTATATCGCAGCCACACATGCACGGCCCATTTTTCAGGGAAAGACTTTGCTCAGTGCTCCACACGACATATCAGTGAGGACTGGGTACGGGGCTGGCTTCATTTTTCCCCCCTGCTCACAAGTGGGCCTGCAGGACCATAACCGGATTTGTGAATGGAGATCTGTTCTCCTTGGGCACTTCTGAGCGGTATAAATCATCGTGCTCTCTGCACTCACATAGGACATTTAGCTAGCAGGCAAAGCCTTGGCAAATATGCCTAAATCCCAATGGACCAGTCTGGCACCATCCCTCAAACCCATGAGCCAATCTGCAGATACATCCATTTTCTTTTTCCTTTAATGATTTTTTTGCCAGTGATTTTACCCTGGATTTAAATGTGTCTTTTTTCACAAGATCTCTGGGATGGTGTCCCTCCAGTTTCCTGTCCCCAGAACTCATCATCCCAAAGCCTAGCCCCATGCCCCGTTTGGTAACTCAGGCATCTAGTACGTCCTTCTGAGCAGCTGAGACCCCAGGAGGCTCTTGAACACATTTTGCACAGTCTTGATGGCTTTCCAATTATCTTATCTGCTTTCTACTGACAGCTTTATACCTCTCTGCTGAAATTGGCTAGGCAACACCAGTTTTCAGCTGAAATGCTTCATGAGAAAGAATTTAATTATCCCAGAGGCTGTAGAAATCTCCTGTTTTTTTCATGGACAGACTTCCCTTGTTATGTTTCTATGTGTTTTTGTCTTGTTTACTTACTCACTGCAACATTTCTTCTCTCCCATGAAATTTTGGTTTGAAAGCTAGTTAGCTAGAACAAAAACTGAAAAACAAGCTGTGCAGAACTTTTATAAAAACAATTAGTGGGCAAAACAAGATAAAGTGGAATGGAGGAGAAGAACATGGTAAAAACTTCACATAAGTTAAGATGCAATTTGATTAGAATTAGAACTTTCCTGTTTTTAAGGGAAAGTGATGTCTCATCTCATAATTCTTGGTTGCTGCTGGCTTTTGACACAGGCTGCTTTTGTGATAGCAGGGGACAATCCTTCTGCTTCTCTTCTGACCACTGCTGATATGAAGTGTCCAGCTCCAGGGAAGAGTCTTGTGTTGGAAAGCTCTTCCCTTTGTTCTGTGTACACCCACCTCCTCTTCAACAGTGCAGACACCTGTCCTCCTTGGCTGCTCCTGATCTTTGTCTCCCTGTCACTTACATTACATACAATTTCTAATAATACCCTGAAGTAATCTTTGCATATGATCTCACCCAGCCCTTGCTGCTGGGGATTAAGGGCTATAACAATGGCATGACCTCAGCTGCAGGAGACTGACTCTCCCTCCTTCTGACAGCCTTGCCATGCTCTCCTACCAGCAGCGGTGGCTGGTGGGTGAAGACAACCTGCCTTTAATGCAGTAGCTTGCTGAGGAATGTTTTTTTGGCTTTTTTGTAGTTGCACACTTAATGTGGGGTGTGTTCAAGGATGCTCAGGCTCTGAGAGTGAAGGCAGCTAATGCAATCCAGGTCTCCCAAGTGTCCGACAGTGGAGGCAAGGTTTTCCCATTTCCCTAGCTAAGCATTTCTTACTTCAGAAAGTCATTCCTGCTCCACATGTTGTTTAACGTAAAATTAAAATATTACGCCATCTGGATACATTCTGGCTGTCATGGAAGTGAGGAAGGAGCAAACCAGCATGGGCTAAAACCACAAGCAGGGCAGCTGAGCCTTCAATGGCTTCAGCCTGCTGCTATGGAGAGCATTCATTGCCATTGCAAAGAGCTGCTACCCTGGTAAAATTCCTGGTGGCCTTCATCCTTCAGGTGCTGCAGAAGATTTGTGGTGTTGGTGGCCATCACTGAAGTTCGTGGCCATCTGCTCTTGCCAAAGCTGTTGGTAGACAACAAGTAAAGAGATTGCATCAGCCCACCAGGTGGTGAAATTGGCTAAAGCCTTCACCACGGATGCCAGGAGTGTTTTCCTGCATTACTGTGTTGTTCTGTGGTGGTCAGGAAGGACATGCATCCTCAAAGGACGGCAGCTGAGTTCAGCAAAAATCATCTCTGCACATGACCTCAAAGCTGGTTTTGCAACTCAGGCTCTCAAAAATGAATGATTGAAAAAATAAATGAATCACTGACAAATTAAGAAATACAGCAAACACTCAAAGTTTCCAGTATGGTACAGTCTTAATTTTATTTTTTTATCTTCCAGAGCAGGTATTTCTGTCCAGGCCTTCTTCACAAAACAGCTTCAGATCTAAAGAATGTTTAAACATCCACAGCACCTCTTGACAGTGAATGTTTCACATTGTTAGGGAGGCCATACATTAGGTAGGAGGCAGTTTGGTTTCTTATTTCATCAGGCACTGTAAAGATTTTGCTGCAGATAGCTAGCAGATTAAAAAAAAAAGGAGAGAAAGGTGAGCTTCTTTTCTCTATTGAGAAGAGAAAAAAATGCATGGCTGATTCTGTGAGTTTAAAGATGTAGGCAAATATTTAGCTGAGAAAAGTTAAGAATTTTTGCTCGCCTGCTTTGAATAGATGGTATATTTAAGTAATATTTATAGAAGATATGTAAGATTTTAGAATATACCAAAAATGTTAAGATATCTCCCAGACATGTTATTATTAGAAGATGGCAGTGAATGTGTAGGAAAAGATGGGAGTGTACTCACAGACAGCGATGTGTGCTGTGTCTTGAGCATAAACCTGCTTCATTAAAAATGTAGCTTTGTGGGTTTCCTAGAGGAAGCTGTTACATTTTATGCGGAGTTCCTTTATGGTTTATGAGCCAGACAGACTGGCTTAAAGAAGCGTAGCCCCGTTAATGGTTTTCTGTCAGCCTGCATAACCCCTGCACATCACTGCTAAGTGCAGCAGCTGTTATCAAGCCATTGACCCCTGTATTTCACTGTTTTTTGCAAAATGATGTAGAGAGAATTGCCTTGCTGTAAAGGATCTCTACTGCTTTAAGGAATGGCTCTCAATGGAGGAAAACTCTCAGAGGGGGATCTACAAGCCAGGGCTGATGCTGCTCGCCCTTCCCGAGTGCAACAGGCTCCCCAGCCTGCACCAGGACCCCAGTGCCTGCACTCGCATCCCTTTCTTTGGTAAGAGGGTGTTTGCAGAGCTGCTTTCTTGGCGAGGGAGGGGGGCAGGATGCCACCCACGACCTGCAGCAGAAGCAAAGGCTGCGACGTGGGCACCGTCCTGCCTGCGCCCGTGCGCTGGTGTGTTCCCACGGCCACGCTCCCAAGTTGGCACCCAGCTGTATCATTACCCTTCCTCATGTCTTGTCTTGTCTTTTTACAGATTTTAAGAAGGAGAATATAACCAGTAAGTAGACTTCTCCAGGCTCTGTGGTTCCAGAGGCTGGGCATGGTATTTTTGTTGAGGATGCAGCTTGCACAGCGCTTCTGCGTTTTGCTCTGGTCCTTGCTGGCTCTATTTGGGTTATTAACAGAGGATGTATGAGCTTCCACATCCAAGGCATAGGGAAACACATTTACAACTGTACAAAATTTAGGGAGAGGGAGAAGCCACCCTTTTGTTTGGCTTCCACAGGATGTCATCAGGGTGGCGTTGCTCAGATGTGTACTGCAGAGTCACGAATTGGGGAGACATAATGGTAACAATTTACTGAGATTGTCCCCTCTTTTTGCCTTGAGAGGCCCTGCTAGATGTGAGGAGAATGAGCCAAACCATTTTCTATCTTGCCAGCTGAGTTATAAGACCATTATGAGAGCATCTGCATTTTCCAGCCCCTCAGGGGCACAGGGATGCTTCCCTAGGGTTGCCTTTTTGCCTAAAACTCTCCACATCTCTCCTCAAAGATGTCACACTGGTACTTGTTTCAGACCATGCAAAAGGTGTTTTTCGTCTTGCAAGTATAAGTGACAATATCAGCCAAAGTACCTCAAGTCAGAGCATTTTACCTTGCCGTTGTGATGGACCAAGTGTGCTCATGGAGCCCATGACCATTTGTAAGCTGAGGAGCTTCCACACCTCAGGCTACAATGGGCTTGACCCATGTTTGAGCTCACCCACCAGGAGCAGACATCATCACGGCTGTTTTTCTGCCTACAGCTTGGTACCTGGTGAACGTGCAAAAAGCACGTTAAGGGTCTGTAAAAGACATAACAGCCAAAATGTGTGGAGTGGGTGATGCAAGAAGAAAAGAGCAGGCCAGCATCATGATGGGTTTGGATTTGTTCTAGAATTGCTCTTTACACGGGTGCTTACTGGAGTGCTCAGGTGCTCTAAGTGAATATCTCATTAAAACTACATCCCTACAAAAAACAAAAAAAAACTAATCATCTATATTTCTGCTACAGGAGAAATTGAATAATCTGCAAGGATAAATTAAAATGCATAATTTTTGTCTCAAACTTGGATCAAAACACAAATATTTCGTGAAGTGGAAAAGGATTTGCTTAAAAAATACTTTGTTTTAGAAAAAGTCAAGTTTCCTCTTTTTTTTTATATATATATATATATATATAATTATTTTTTTTTCTAAGCTGTGAGTTTAGTGCAGGAGAAGAAAAGTTATGATGACAGCGTTTGCTGAGTTACTAATTTATCTAATAAGGTTAATAATGCAGCACCTAATAAGCGAACCCTAACGCATGCCATCACCAAAATGCTCGTCCAGGTCAGCAGAGCTTCCACACAAATAGCTGGCAGATGTGATATGTATAAGGCTGCATCTCCTCTGCTGTCCCTCCTGCTTCCTGGCTATACTGGCACGCATTAAATTCTCCTGTGAGGAGAGGTGGTGTCTACATTTATGTCTTGGGAACTTATTCTGGGAGTGAAAATCTCCTCAAGATTTCCCGCTTGCTTTTTTTTTTTTTTTTTTTCTGCAGCCGGAGTAGGCTCTGTGTATGTAAACTGAACTGCACATTCTGTTGTGAATAACGGTGTTTTATGCTGATCTGCTGCTTCAGTTCTTCAGTTCCCTTCGGTGTGTGTTTTCCACGTGTGCTGGGAGCTGGAGACTGTGTCTGAGCACCCTCTGCGAGGCAATGGGCCCTGTGCAGGCCCCTCACAGGGCCTTGCTGGCCACAGCTCTTTTCTAAGGATGTGGCCTTTACTCTTGTCAGTCCCTGCTGCAGGGCATGGTTTGAGGTGCCTTGTCCACACCTATTTATTTGTTTTTTCTTTTAACTCCCCAGGGACTTGCTACAGCGGCAATGGCCAGTTTTACCAGGGCTGGGTCAATGTCACGGCCTCTGGCATCCCCTGCCAGAAGTGGAGCGAGCAGGTAGGCAGCAGTGTGAGACCCCCCAAACAGGGAGCTGCTCTCGAGGTCTGCTTCTCTGCTGGGCTTCCCAGAGCCAGGCAGCTCTGTCCCATTGAAGGGCTGACAGCCTGCCTTCGTTCCTGAGCCCATTGCTGTTTCACAGCCTCTTCATATTTCAGTCTGCAAGTCTTTCCTTCCTTCCTTCCTTGCTTCCGTCTTTCCCTCCCTGCCATTTTGTTTTCCTTTGTTTTCCTTCATTTTGTAAATTCCAGCAGCAAAAATTCTACTCAAGCACTAACCCAATCTGTTTCCTGCTCCAAGGCTCCCCACTTGCACAGAAGGACTCCTCAGGTCTTTCCCGAGCTGGCTGATGCTGAGAACTACTGCCGCAACCCAGGAGGTGAAAACGAGCGTCCCTGGTGCTACACAAAAGACCCATCTGTGACTTGGGAATATTGCAGCGTGTCTCCCTGTGGAGATGGTAGGTGACTGAATTTATGATTTCTGCCACTGGGTTTGTTTTGGGACCATGTAAGGTATTTGCATCCTGAGCATCGTATTGTGGCACCTACAGCTCCACCAATCTGTTTTGTCTTCTTGATTCAGCCAGCACCAGTTCTTCTCATAGATGCATTCAGCATCTTTAATCTGAACATGCTATAAACACGTTAATAATAGGAAAATGTGGACAGACATATCGAGCACCTTGCTCCGGATTATAGTAAGACGAAAAGATGAAATCAAATTTCCTGTGGTATAATGATGAATGAATTGGCCACACTGTGGTCTGAAGAGAAAGTAGATCTTATGGCATATTTTCTGAAGTTGTTTTGCTTCTGGTGATATTTTTTCAATAATAAAGAACAGTTCTATGTAAAAACAATTCTGAATAAGATGGAAACATTTTTGCTTTGTGGAGTTGCTGTTTTTTTTTTTTTTCAAAGAGTATGTTGAAAAGTATTTCATCAAAGTTACAAATTTTTAATAAACGTAATTCTTTGGAATCTCAGGTCTTGGAAACAAGACAATTCCACTTGCAGAGAGAACAAAGGCACTGAGAGCATAGGGGAATACAACTCAGTATCTGTTTCACTGGTCTTAAAAACAGTTTATATTTCTTTCTGTTCTCAATCATTGTATGTATGCACGTACAGATTAACATCTTTTAGAATGGCTCAAAAAGTACTTGGCAGGGGGCTACTTGATTCCCCCCCCCAAAAAAAATAATAAAAAATAGACCTAAATATGTTTTACACTAGTTTACTGTATTTGACCCATAAAGACACTGATATGCAAGTTGTTGGAGGCAAGGTATCCAGGAAGGTATCAATGTGTACTTGCCTTGGTCTTACACTCCTCTCTGCAGATTTGTTCTAGGATGTGTGATATATTGTGGCCCACAATGTGGACCTTTGCTCCTTTCCAATGCAGACTTCAGCTTATTTGAACACTTAGACACCACCAGTGTATCTCCCACCTGTAATTCTTTCTAAGTGTCTGATTCCTTAACTAAAACTGGGTTCCCAGCTCAATGGGAACTGTATCTAGGTCTTTATTAGGTCCTGGACTGGGCTTTAACATCTGGTAAGCAGTAATGTGCTTTGCTTCCTGTAAACCAAAGTTCCCTAGTATGATATACAGTCATACTGCTGTATCCATGATGTCAGCAGGACTCCACAAGTACCTCTTAAGGGAAAGCCCCAACCCTATAAAACTGTCATAATCTTCTGATTTTGCTTACATTACAGCATCCTTATCACTAGGAACAAGAAAACCAAATGGAGAGATTCCAAACCTCCCCCCTCCTCCATCCTTTTCCCCTACATACTCCATGACTGTTATCATCTCGATCATCTCCAGCTTTGCCCTTAGCGTGATCCTTGGCATTGTCACCCTTGTTTGCTGCCGTCGACGAAAGCAATGGAAAAACAAAAAAAGGTAAAACTCAGGACTTAACTCAAGGCAACAAATGCTGCTTTGAAACACGGCTTGCCTGCTTCTGAGAGCACAGTCCTGCAAATGCCTGTTGGAGGGAGAAGCCCTCCCTATGTCAGTGGCTGCAGCAGTGCAGGCTCAGAGGAGTGCCTGTGTCAGAGCAGAAGGTGGCCTGGTGGCTATTTTGGGGAAATGACGTGAGACCCTGCTGCAAGGCTCTTTCATCAGCCCTGCCGTACCTCCTTTTTCCATCCTGGAAGAAACCCTCCCTGGAGGTGCAGATGTTGATCTCCTGGTCGGGGGCCGTGCACACTCTGACCAACAACTGCTCCATTGTTTCAGAGAGTCAGAAACACCGACGCTCACCACTCTGCCCTCCGAACTCCTCCTGGATCGGCTGCACCCCAACCCCATGTACCAGCGGATGCCCCTTCTCCTTAATCCGAAACTGCTCAGCCTGGAGTATCCCAGGAACAATATTGAATACGTGAGAGATATTGGGGAAGGAGCATTCGGGAGAGTCTTCCAAGCAAGGTAAGCAGCCCATGTGTGAGTCCTCTCTATCTGAAGGTATCTGGGAAAAATCAGCATTTGGGCATCCATTTGCCTGGACGCAGAAATCCTTTGTTCATTTACTCAAACCAAAATTGGTAGAAGGGCCCAACAGTTTAACTGAGGCTTGAATAATTGTTTGTCTTGTCCACTGCTTTCACAGAATCACAGAATCACACAGAATCACAGAATTTCTAGGTTGGAAGAGACCTCAAGATCATCGAGTCCAACCTCTGACCTAACGCTAACAGTCCCCACTAAACCATATCCCTAAGCTCTACATCTAAACGTCTTTTAAAGACTTCCAGGGATGGTGACTACACCACCTCCCTGGGCAGCCTGTTCCAGTGCCTCACAACCCTTTCAGTAAAGAAGTTCTTCCTAACATCTAACCTAAAACTCCCCTGGCGCAACTTCAGCCCATTCCCCCTCGTCCTGTCACCAGGCACGTGGGAGAACAGGCCAACCCCCACCTCGCTACAGCCTCCTTTGAGGTATCTGTAGAGAGTGATAAGGTCGCCCCTGAGCCTCCTCTTCTCCAGGCTGAACAAGCCCAGCTCCTTCAGCTGCTCCTCGTAGGACTTGTTCTCCAGGCCCCTCACCAGCTTCGTCGCTCACTCATACCTGTTAAACCTTTGTCAAGAATGAGTCTCCTGTTCTTCTCTCTTAATTCTCTCTTAATTCTCTTCTCTCTTAAGAGAGAAGAACATACCAAAGTCTGGTGTGATAGCTTAGCTAAATTTATCATCCCTATTTTTTTTTTCCAAAGAGTATTGCATGTGACATGTGACATTGTGAAATGCTTGCATTTCCCAGTATGTGCAAATTGTCAGTGTGTAGTGTCCTCCGTTACAAACTCAACACCGGCCAGTAGTTACCACAGAGGGCAATGTGTCATGCTGCAGTTAGGTCCTGACCCAGTTTACGTTTGATTTAGAGGCAAAACCAAACCAAACCAAACCAAAAATCCCCTATAAACCCAACATACTTAAGCCAACATCCTTTGTGTGTGTGTGTGTGTCCCCTTTGCTTATTCAGACTTCATTCTTGGAAATCACAGCCATTGTTGCCTGTTTAAATTTAAGGCATTAGATGAGCCATAGATTCTGTTGAATCTCCTGGGAGGTGAGGTCATGCTCTTCTTCACATGTGAAAAACATTTCTTGGGGAACCCAGAGATGAACCCAAACCTGCTTAGACTGTGGTGGATGGAAGGCGTCTTGTTGCCCTTGACAGTCTGCAATGCCTGCAGGACAGCATTTGGCCTGTTTGCCCTTCTTGGAAAATCCTAGCCCAAACTCCTTGAAAGAAGGCAGACAGAGTGTATCGTTCCATTTTGCTCAGGATGGGTTTTGTTAGTCCTTTACAGTTAATGTCTCTGGGATGTAGCTCATTTTGTCACTGTATCTGGAGTCGTGTGTGATGACAAAAATTGCCAGGGACTGTTAGAGTCCTGATGTGCACCATGGCCTGCCTGATGAACTACTCCCAAGGACTTCACAACCGAAGGACTCTCCATGCAAAAATCAGCCATTAGTGCAGACGCTTTCAACATTTATAGTTATGCTGTGGATGTATCCACTGGGAAATTAGTTATGGGCAGGCTAAAATGCTGGTAGAACAGGGAAACCACTTCAATAGGTGTGACGGATTTTTTTCCTAATGAAGGGATGTGGAAGAAATGCAGGCGTACTTTTATTTAACATAGAGGGAGCTAAAAATAACAAAGTTTAAAGGGCGCACAGTGGGAAAATCACAGATGCTTAGCCTGTGATTGATTGTTAGCCTGGATAGCTGAGCCAAACGCATCCGAACCTGAGTTGAGGGCAAAGTTGCAGTGACTGAGTCACAGCTGGTGCAGGCGAGCTGGTGCAGGTGCCCGGTGCTCAGGGCATCCCACGGACTGCAGCCTTTTGTGGAGCATCGCCTGCACCAGCACCTCCAGATAGCCTCCGTGCTGCCCAGAGCCTCCTCAGCTGGAGGTGTCTCTCCCCCACCTTGAACAGGACCTCTCGCAGGGCACTCAAATGTCACTGAGGCACCAGGATAAGCAAGTGTTAAAGTGGTGTAGAGAGCTTCCACGTGGATTTCGTCCACCCCAGCGCTGTAATCCCTTTTAGTTAAATCTTTTTGCTATTGTCAGTGGAAAATGGAAGAAAAAGGAAAATAATAATAGTAATTAAAAAAAAAACACCACCACAACAAAAAAGCAAGCAATACAATCTTCTTAGCCATCTTTTGCAGCATGCAGAGTACCATACCCTCAGAAACACCCAGTTTCTGGGGCTCAGGGAAGGAGCCCCAGAAATACTGTTTCTGAGAGGCAAATTTTTTATTAAAAAAAAATCTCAGCCAGAAACCACTCCGAGGCGTTATATTCCCAGGGAAAATTCCATCCCCTGACATTCCTGTGCACCACTGGCAGACCATCAGAGACTGCTGTGCTGACATCCAGTAGCACCAGCTGCGCATCCCTCCAGGTGACGGACACCATCCCAACTCAAATCTTCGCCTTCCCGTCGCAGATGGATAACATGTACTTGTCTACATGTGTTAAATGGACATCTCAGGCTAAGTTTAGCAACCCTTTTACTTCTCCTGGTCTCATGTTTCTCCCTCTCCTGTAAACACAGCTCTGCGCACGGTGCCAGTGATGCCTTTGCCAGTTGGCTTGCTGCGAGTCCTGATTCAGTGTTTACTCACTCCTGGGTCAAGCAACATGTTAGGACAGGAAGTGTCTGGCTATCATTTACCAGCTCCTCCTGAAAGGCTGCCATGTCCGCTTGGGGCTCGTTCACACGGGAAGGGGTGAGGAAGTGGCCAGTTACCTCAACAGATGTCTTCAAAACAAGATCTGGGACCTGGCTCAGGTCTGTCCTAACCAGGCCGTGGGGGCCAGTTCAGGATCTCCTGCACCTGGGAGGACCACGCTGACATCTACACACCTCCAGAGCACCACTCCTCTGCAGGACGATGTAGGTGAGCATGCAGATCGCTCCCAGAGGTGGAGCTGTGTGCCCCAGACTAAGCTGGAAGGCCAGGGTTGCCCAGTGCCCTGGGTGTGGGGTCTTTGGCAGCAACAAAGGCTCGTGGACCCCCACTGCAAAAGCTTGGGGGTCAGCTTGTCATCTCTGCAAGAGAGAAGGCTGCCCCAGGAACCAGGCTGGAGCTGTGGGCAAGAGCTCAGAGATCGAGGTGGCAGGAGTTTCTCTATCACATGTATCCTCATATTCTTTCACGTTGTTGAAAAACTTTCAGAAAGTTAAAGTTTCATTTGGTTAAAGAAACCAAATGAAACAGTCCCCTGCCCATTCTGAACACTGTGCTGCCCCCCCCCGGCCCCAAATTTCCCTCCAAAGGAGAGGGCAAAGGTAGTTCTCCACCTGCCTCATTAGATGTTAATGGCACCAATTAATGGCCTAACAAGCTGCCCAGCTGTGATGCTGAGGAAGATGCGGGACAGGACTCAATCTCAAATACAGATGCTCCTCTTTTATTTATTTATTTATTTATATTTATTTATTTTTTGACAGTTATTGTTCTGGAAAGGTCTGTCTGCAAACCTAAAATCAGGTATCCTCTGTAGGTAGACCGGGGGCAAAATCTGTTTGCCTTGCTGGTTGGTCCTTTAAACTGCAGGTACCTAAAATGTTGCCAGTGTTGCACAGATCCTTTGGTGGTGAAGAAACTGAGGACAGCTGCTGTCCATCCTGTGTACAATATCTCATCTATTTAGGGAGTCACTAGAGGGGAAACCCAAGGTAATTTCTGTTGATGCTCCCTATGTCTAGAAGAAAATTACCAGTTTTCTATTAAACACTCCCTATTCTCTCCTTGAGCCCGAATTGCCCTGTTTAATTACAGAAGTGACAGCTGTCCACTGATCACGTGCACCCATCCCTTTCTCCTAACAGTGTCTTCTGGGCACCAAGGATTTCAGCTTCAGCAGCTCCCTGCCACGACTGCACACGGAGTCTCTCCCTCTTCCCACTCAAGCACAATTTCCCCAGATCTGCCAGAAGTGGGCCGAAGGAGTTAACACGAGTTATTAAGAGGAGCCGCTGAGGGTGGAGCTACGTGCTGTAGCCTGAATGCCCAGCAAAAGGCTCCCTGCAACTTAATCTCACTTGGGTCGCATTTAGGTTAGTTTACACTACAGGATTTCAGCGGAGGGCGGGTAGATGGGTCTGCTTCACGCTTTGGCCCGGGGTGAATGTCTTTCTCCAAAGCACGCAATATGAAGCTGTTGGCACTGAGCTAGGTCTGCTAGCCAGTTGTGAGTGGGAATCTGCAGCGAAGTTGCTTGGACGAGATACATGCCCTCCTCTCTTTACTTTTAGTTCTTCTGCTGGCTTATTCAGGGTATTGCTGCTGACTTTTCTCAGGCAGGGAGGCTGGGCAGCAGTGGGTGTGTGAGAAGACATCTCTCCTGCTAGACTGGAGCCTTGCTGCCAGCACAGGGTGAGAAAAGGAGGACATTTCGCAGTAGCGGAGGCAGCAGCAGACAAATACGGAGCCTGCTCCTCCACCCTGGCATGCTGGACCTCCTCACCCGAGCCCTTCAGCTGCGATCTGGCTGCCTGTGAAATTCCTCTCTAGATGGGCATCCTGCCACCATCTGACATTTGACATTTATAGCATCCGAGTGCATCTGTTGCAAGTGCCATATGTCTGGAGTAGATGACAAGGAAACTGGAAGTTTGCTTTGGAAATTGGAACCTCCTCTTGGGGCTACTGAGCAGGAAAGTAACCTGGCATTTGAGCAGCAGGAGGGCAGTCAGGCAGGAGCACGGGACATGACGGGATACCGCTCTCCACGGGCTCTGTCTGCTTTTAAGGAGTGCATCTCGACTGCAGGACCCCTGGGCAGAGCAGGAGTGGGCAAGGAAATGTGTATCTGAGGTTTGACTTACGTCTGAAGCGCAGAACGTTGCTGTGCTTTGGGAACAGCCACCCCTGCATCTTTGGCAAGCCGGCCTAATCAAACTCGGTGAGGGCAGAGTGACCTGTGGATAAGAAGACAAGATGAGCCTGTGCTTGTTCCAAGCCAGGAAGCTCTGTTTCCGGACTTGTGTCTCTTAAGCTGAAGATTCACCGGTGTTCAGCATGTGTTGGTGTGTGAGCTCGTTCTTCAGACATGACATGTATATTCTTTCTCCCTTCTGTCTCATCACCTGTTTCCACAAAACTTGCAGTAGCGTTAACTATGTGCTAATATATCAGCTCCACCCTGTTAAATTCATCTGAAATTAGCTAATGGGTTCAAAACTTGCTAAATTACAGGTGTACTCCACCCACCCTGCTCCTCCTGAACAGTGGCAAAAGGTTATTTTCCTTACAAAACCTGGGGAATGTACTATAACTACTATTTGTTCTCTGGTAGTAGCCAGATATGCCAATGCCACCATGCTGCGTGTGGGAAAGGAGGCTCTTTCAACATTTTCATATAAAATATCTTTATTTTTCACTCCTGGTGAGATCAATCCTTCGGTCAGTGCTGAATGCTTCCACCTTGTTTTTGTCTCCATCATTTCACACCGGAAACAGAGCCTGCATTTGGTGTGCTTGCACCTTTTACCTGTGTTTTCCTCTCTCTCAGGGCCCCAGGGCTGCTGCCGTACGAGCCTTTCACCATGGTGGCAGTGAAGATGCTGAAGGAGGAAGCATCCGCGGACATGCAGGCCGACTTCCAGAGGGAGGCAGCCCTCATGGCTGAATTTGACAACCCGAACATTGTCAAACTTTTAGGTATCTGAACGAGGTGCCTGTGTATGGGGTAACCCATCCTGCAGATATGCTGGGGTTTCTCTAGGGCCACAGGGGCAAAGACACGTGCACGACCAGACCGGAATGCAAGGGAATGCAAAGGAAATGCCTCTTGCAAAAGGGGTGAGCTTTTCTGTGAGCCGCTGCATGCTCTGCTCAATTCTCCACCAGAGCAAGTCTCAAAATGTAGGTCCAACCCTGCTGCTTTTGCAGGGTGGTGTGTTGTAACAAACCCTCTTCATCCTGTGCTAGAGCATGCTGCTGACCATCGTGCTGCGTATCTCTGCTTCCAGCTTCATAACATCAGGGCAGATGTCTTACAGGGAAGACGTGAGCTTCCTGCATCTGTGATTTATTTTGTGGGTATTTAAAAACAACAACAACAACAACAAAAACAGGAACAAGTCTTATTAGTTTTATGGGTCCCACTTACTATTGTTATGTCTGAACACTCACCAGCATTAAAAAAACAAAGTGAAGCAAACAAACAGAAAAGCCAACCACAAAAACAGTCTCTTCCTTCCCCTCCCTTCTCGGCTGAAAGGAAACTCTGGTTTACTGGGCTTTTTAGAAAACCTTGGTGCCACAGCTTGGCTAATAGTGCATTCCTCTGTAAAGAAAGCTGCTGACCAGACTCTATTTCAATAAATTTTCAGTTTCTGAATGAAGTGGATGTAGCCAGCCACCTTCACCTGGCAGTCCTATTTGGGGTTCAAAGGGTTGATCCCTGTCAACAAGCAGCTGAGATCTTAATTTATTTCAACAGGAAGCTCCACAAAATTTGGAAATGTAAAAACCCCAGGTTTAGGAAAGCTGGGTTGATTAGAAGTACTTTGGAAACGGAAAATAACATCAGGAAATGCCCCAAATGCAAATAAACATCGTGTTTATTGTCAACACACTGTAGGTCAGGAAGGGGCGAAGGTACAGGAACAAACTGGTCTCACATCGAGCGGGCGTGGGGAAAAAAGCTGCATTGTTGAGCACAGCTCAGATTATAAAGCTCTCACATACGCTCCTCGTGCTTGTCAGATCCCGATTTTATCATGCTGGGAACAGATATCTGTTTTTTCTCAAAGATTCAAGTGTTAGGTCATCAACAAGAACTTCGGATTTTGCAATAAGTTGGATCACCAATTACTAAGTGAATGGCCCTGAGGAAGCAAATCACATACACTTCAAATGCTGGTTTTTGCTAGTTGGTGAGTTACTAGCGGGAACACAAATATTTTTGCCTACCTCTAAAAGTGACTTTATGTCCGTAAAACTGGTTAAAAAGTTGGGTTTGGAAATTTGTATATTAAGCTGGTTATCTTTGCACACACTGGTTCTTCATCTGTTAGATGTGGTAGATCTCTTCTTTCTGACGTCTGCCCTTTCTTTGTCTTTTTTTTTTTTTTTTTCCTCCATATATGTGTCAGTCATACCAAAAGTAATTTCTGCAAACAACATTTTTTGCATGTGCAGTTTTCAAACAAACAAACAAACAGAAAACAACAACAGAAGAGTATGGAGTGGGAGTTTTTTTTTTTTTTTTTTTTTTAAGGTATCCCAATGAACTCTTGAACATGTCCCTGAAAATGCTGTTTTGTGACTACATCTGAAGTCTAACTGTATATGTGTGGCCTTTACACACACACTAGTATAAATGTAATAACTAAACCAAGCAAACAAAAAAATAACCTGTAATTGGAACTATAAAATTTATTCTTGAAAGTATGTCCTTCCAGTTGCAGCTGGGAAGAGGCAATGCTCCAGTTAATGCCAGTTTAACCAGGTTTAGCTTCTTAATTAAACATAGCTCCAAATACGTATCCTGCTCCTTGGATGCCCAGAGAAAGCAGGCAGCAGCATGACTTGTTAGCATCCCCCACGGAGCTCAGCATTAGATCCCTGATGAAGGAGCTTCAAAGACACAAAGGACCTGATGCAACCGGGCGGTATTCACATGCTTCACCTTTCCCTCTGTCCCCACATGTATTCTTGAAAATACTTACTTTGCTTAAGTATTTTTGGATGTATATTTTTTTGGGGGGGATGTTTTGCCACAGCAGAACCTTTCTTTGCTCCCCGAGTGACCCGTCTCTCCTCTTGCAGGCGTGTGCGCTGTCGGGAAGCCCATGTGCCTGCTGTTCGAGTACATGGCCTATGGGGACCTCAACGAGTACCTGCGTGACCGCTCGCCCCGCAACCTCTGCAGCCTGGCTCAGCAGGGCGGCCTGGAGGCGCGGGTCTGCCTGCCCGGCCCCCTGGCGCTGTGCTGCACCAGCCAGCTCTGCATCGCCAAGCAGGTGGCTGCGGGCATGGCCTACCTCTCTGAGCGCAAGTTCGTCCACCGGGACTTGGCCACCAGGAACTGCCTGGTGGGGGAGAACATGGTGGTGAAGATCGCCGACTTCGGCCTCTCCAGGAACATGTATTCGGCTGACTACTACAAGGCCAACGAGAACGACGCCATCCCCATCCGCTGGATGCCCCCCGAGTCCATTTTCTACAACCGGTACACCACGGAGTCCGACGTCTGGGCCTACGGGGTGGTGCTGTGGGAGATCTTCTCCTACGGCATGCAGCCCTACTACGGGATGGCCCATGAGGAGGTCATCTACTACGTGAGGGATGGGAACGTCCTCTCCTGCCCAGACAATTGCCCTCTGGAGCTCTACAACTTGATGCGCCTCTGCTGGAGCAAGCTGCCCTCCGACCGGCCGAGCTTTGCCAGCATCTACCGCATCTTGGAGCGCATGTACGAGAGGGCCGTGGCCTCCCTGCAGGTCTGAGGGGTGTCCCCCACCTCCACATACCTGGGTGGATGTGGGCAGGCCTGAAAGCTCCACTCGAAGCTGTGTTGTAGAGGAGAAGAAACACCTTGTTCCTCTGCCAAGCAAGAACCATGTACTGCACCCCCCTGGGGTGGACTATGTGTCACAAAGTATGGGGATATCTCCCAGCCACAAGTCTGGGGCTCTTTGGGTTGGTGGCCGTGCTGGCCGTGCTAGCTCAGGACCTGTGTTAGGCATTTCCAGGAGCACAGGGCTCCACAGGCAAAGCAAACCAACCTCTCGCTGGCGGCACTTCCCTTCCTGACAGTTCCCTCCATGTTCTCCTGCGTTTGTGCACTTGGCTGTTACCTTTTTCTTCCCTTCCCTTCATGTTTTCAACCACTACCTGAAAAAAAATATATATATTGCAGAAATCAATTCTATTTTGGATTCTCTTTGCATTTTATTTCTGCATGTTCACTTCCTTTTGAAGAAAAAGGACATTTCTGAAACCACAGTCCAGTTCTTTCAACTTCCACCTTCTCTTTGACACTCACAAACACAACATGGACACAGTGAAACCAGGAGCCTGCAGGACCACCATCAGTAACCAGTATGTCACGTTACACAGACAAGCAAGCTCCTAAAGCAACACCACAGCTCCTCTTTTCCAAAAGAGGGAAGTCTGCAGGGAGGGCCATTTGATCTTTCCTAAGATCTCACCCAAAATTTTGTCTCAGGCATAGCAGCCAGTCTTCCCACCTACTCCCACAATAAAGCCATTGGGTACTAAGGCACGAATTATTCCTGAAGGCCCAGCCTGGCACCTGGCTGGTCTCTCAGATGTGTTTATTTCCCCCTGCTGTGCAGTGCTCCCTGTGCTGAGAGCAGGGAGAAACGCAGCCCCTGTGCCCAAAACATGACCTGATGTCACGCTGGCTGTCACTCTTCTATCTCTGGGTAGGAAAACATACTCCCCTGCAGAAACATGGCACATTGTGTTATGTATTTCTCTTTCTGTTTTTGCCCTATTTCTGGTTTTCCTTTCCTGACAGCACCTCCTGAGCCCTGTAAGCCCTCCTACAGCATTTGCTGGCCACTGTCTCTTGTGCTGTCACAGAATTAATTCGGTGGGATGTGTGCTGTCTGTGGTCTTCATTGACATCCTGGTGGCTAGGGGAACGTGTTAAAAAAAGTAAAAGAGGAGCTCACCCTCCGACACAAAAAGAGTTGCAGACTGCCCATCCGCAGGGCAGAAATGAGACTGCCTTGGTTACACAAGGTCCTCAGCCCACTTGCAAACAGCAAAGATAATTTGTCTTCTAAAAGTTGTCTGAATCATAGTGCACACCTCACTGCCAGAGTAAAAACAAACTCCTGCCCAGGAGGAGCAGGTAAGATTAAAAGACTATGCCAACCATCACAAAGACCAAAACTGGAAAGTTTTCATCTCCTTCATCTCCTGCTTTCCTGTAATGTCAGTTAATCTCTGTTATGCCATGACCACATATTCTTTTCACTTATTTATTTGTTTTTAAATAACCGTAGCTGTGGCCATGGGTGCACAGTTTATTATTTTCATACCTCTCATGTGTGTTTCGCTCAAAGAGCTCACAGCTAACCAAGACAGTGGGAAGAAAGGAAAGGAGCTCTCCTTGGGCTGCAAAATATTGAAAATATTGCTGAGCCAATGCTTGGATACCTGCACAGAGAGGACAAAAACGAACAGTGCTGTCTTACCCATCTAGCAGTCCTGCCATCACGCTATTTTGTCAGAGGTTTACAGAGGTCTGGATGCTAAGACACGAAAAGAAAAGCAAAACAAGGACTCCTGGCCCCTCTTTCCAAATATTTACAATAATTACCAGAGGTTCTTGTGTAGCGCCTGGCACTACTTCACGACCACCTCACAGCCCTCAGCACCGAGTTGTGCTTGGCTTTGCCACCTGGCAGATGCTCTGTCTGCCCTGCACATCACACCAGGGGGAGGAGGTGATGCTTGGGGATGGTGGTGAGCAGCAGAGAGTGCAAATTCAGGCAGTGCTCCGGGCAGGAGGGGTTTGGCCATGCTCCTTACAGAGGGCAGGACCAGGCTTTGGATGTGGGCAGCGGTGTGGTTCCTGCACAAGTTCGTTAGGGAAAATATCACCTCCTCCCAGCAGGAGAGGTGTCTCACACCAAACAAAGGTCGTAAGAACAGGTTGGTGTGAAACCTGCACCAGCTTCAAGCCTGAGCAGATGCACCCACCTGCAGACCAGAGGGCAGCCCTTTTCGCTGCCTTTCCCTAGCCAAAACTCTTGCTCTGTCACACCAATTCTGGCCCTGTGCAGCTTGCATGGGCCCTGCTGACATACCAGTGGAAAATCTGTTTTTCCTTGCCCAGCATTCCAGCTTCTGCATTGCAGGCCTGCGCTGAAAGTGGGGTAGTTAGCAACTGCAGGTCAGGATGCAAAATGCTTCCTCTGTTGTGAGGGGAAAGATCTTTTCAAGATCGCCTCGTTGAGAAGCTCTCTGCAGCACGCTCTCCAAGCATGATAATCGCTTCTGCATCACAATCCAGCAGGAGGGCTTAGCGCCTAAACGGCAATGTCCTGTGAGGATTACATGGTAGACAGACCTTCTGCTGCCTTGGCATATGGCTGGATTTTACCCTGAGAGTTTCCTCCTGTTGTACATTTTTCAGCTTGCTGAAAGCTGGAAGCTGAATTGCTTTCAGGATTTGCTTTCTTACACAGCTTTTTTTTTTTTTTTTTTTTTTTTTTTTTTTTTCCCTCCTCCTTTTGTTTAAGAGTTTTTCTTTCTTCAATGGATGTTATACAGTGTGCTACTCCAGAGATCTGTAGGTTGTTTTTTATAGCTATCACAAAACTCAAATTATTTTGAATGGGAGTAAGCAGTGGGCTTGTGAGAGAGCAGAGAAAGGAAATATATTAATCCAAAAATTGCTCGGAAGCAAAAATATTTTGCAGTCCCTAGTTTGGATTTACATGTCCATGCAGACAAAGAAGTTGAACCAAAACCAATTAATTTAGATGCTCAAGTCCCCATTCCCACTGATTGCAGAGGGGGCCTTGCAGACAGTGGCTTGTGACAGTAACCCTACAGAGAAGAGGATTTGCAGCATGCTTGGTGTACCCACTACCTACAAGTGTGCATATGCAAAACGTGTGCAGCTTCATCCAGGGTGACGTCCCAAGACAGCAATGCTTTCCTGTTCTTTAAAAGGTGTATTTGAAATGCATTGTAAAGCATGAATCCCACAATTGATCGGACACTGCCTGCAACATGATCAAATTTGATTTGATCACATAGATCAAAAGGTCATGTAGATCATGAAGAAGCTGCTCTCAATCACGCTGTGTACTGAACTCAGCTCTCTTGTCGCAGCTCTCTAAGGATATACAGTAATTATCTGTTCTCTGTTGCACATTACAGAAATGATGGCTTTGAATAACATCCCAATCAGAGATCTACATTTCTGACTATCCTTACTCATGTAGCTCCTGTGCGTAATATTTAAAAAAAATAAAGAGATATCAGAAATTAATTCTGTTCTCTCTGTTCTCTTCATTCTCCAGCACCAGGTTTATTACTGGAAATAGGTGCATTTTGTCTTATTAGTATAAATTTACTACAGCTTTATTATCACTATGGTTATACTGTCGGCAATTATAGTAGAAGTTTGCACAGGCTTTTCAGATCAAAGTATGCAGCAAAATCAGCATATTATGTGTGCTCGGAGGCATGTATTTTTGTCCATCGATGGCATAAATTGCATGCTTTAAGGAAACAATAAGGCACTCTGGGTGGAACAAGGCACTTGAGACGAAGCTCTTGGGGTTGCTCTGTAGGAGGCTGTTTTGCAGGATGGCATTCAGGTGGGAGCAGGAGAGCACTGGGCTTTCAGCTTGACAGGTCCCTGTCCTGAGACTAATGGTGTGAGGAGGACAGGAAGGAGGATGTCACCATGGCAGTGTGTGATGGAGTCCCTTGAATGCTTTCCCTTGACACAGAAATGTCCAGGATGCCTCGTGTGGATGGAAATGACATCTGCTTCCTCCCCGATTTCTGCTGGTATTTGTGCCTGGACTCTGACCCCACACCAAGACAAGTTGGGAATAAAAGTGCTGTACAAAGTCAAAAGGGAATCGAGTTTGCTGTCTGTGGAAGACAGATGAGAAAATAGCTTGTCACTGATGGGTTTATCTAAAAAAAGTCACAGCTCCTTTTTCTGCATATGATTCTTGAACACGAACTTGTTCGCTAAGTCCTCCAAAGTCCATGGGCATTTTAACTGTTTTAAAACTCACTGCAAACACTTGACAATCTGAACTGGAAAGTAAAACCGAACTTTACAACTAGCAAGGGAAGAAATTCTTTCTTTCAATCTTCTTTCATTTTCTTTCACCCTCTTTGTGCAAATTCCCCATTGCATCTGTCAAAACCTTCACTTTGCTCATTTCAGTCCTGTTTAAAGCTTCTTATCCTCAGCCAGGCGTTAGCAACTCATGTTATTGCAGAGTCTTGCTGTATGTGGCAAAGAGCCATTCCCTAGAGGCAGCTCTCTGTTGGTGGTGTCCAGTCGTAACTGTGCAAAGGGCAGGCTCTGAGGAGCTTGAAGCTGCCCATCTAACCAGTGCCTACAGCTTTCTGTGCTGCAGGACGTGCTCGCTTGAAGGGCAGGTGATGCTTTGTACTGCTGACATATCTCTGTGCTAACGTAATATCTTCAACTGCCCTGAAAATTTAGGATTAAGTACATAAAAGTTTAATCGGTGACAGATCGGGTGTTATGCAACAAGTTTGGACCAACAGGCAATTAGTTAATTGAGAAAAATTATTGTATATTAATTGAATAATAATTTATTGAAAAAATACTATTTTCTGTCCAGTGGGATGCTTTAAGTCTCATGCCATTTATAGGTCCAGGTGTTGACTTTGCCTCTGAGATACTACGATACATCTCTGCTGGGCAGCCACGAACATGTTGGGGCATTTGCATGCTTACTGCCCTACCCCACGGCCCTTATCTAAAAGAGATGTTACAGCTTGGGAGCTTATATGGGCGAGCACACATTCACGTAAGCAAACAGCTTAATGGACAAGGGGGGCTGTGCTGAAACGCGAGGCGCTGGGTGAACGAATGGGGGTTATTCACTCTCCTGCCCACTGAGCTCACGCCGTGCTAAATTTAACTTCTTATTTAAAGCAGCATTAACCTCATGGCAGCGACATGGGAGAACAGGCAGGCATTGGTGGCGGTGGGGACGGGGACTTCTTGTGCCTTGTGGTGTGATGCAGAGACACTCATGGTCTGGGTGTTACTGCTCGGCCTGATGAGGCTGCCCAGAAGGATCTGCGAGCCGCGAGGCTGCTGCTGGGCTCCACGTCAAGAGGAACCGGCCTGATTTACAGCTTGGCGCCAGCCGTACCTGGCATTCC